TATAACTGGCCTACTTGCATATCTTTGCTTAGCAGTGTCCTATTGACTTGGGGGTTGGCTCATTTGACTTGGACAGCCAACCACATTCAAGTTCACTCTGTAACCTCGCCCATAGCAACAAAACAGAGTACCCTAGCAACCATTCATCAACAGCTATATCTCAGCATCGGAACATCGTAGACACTTGGGGATTGGCTCGTTTGACTCATGCTAGCAAACGGAACTTCCTATATGCTACACATGCTAGCAGTGACTAGCTACATGCTAATATTTACTAGCCAAGTACCGTAACTTGCTAGAAATGCTTACTAAGTATAAATATTTTATCAGGCATTTATGTGAGGCTTGCCTAGTAACCACCTAGGTTACCCTAGCAATTGCCTAGCAACCACCCAAATTACCCTAGCAACCGCCTAGCAACCACCTAGCAACCGCCTAGTAACGCCTTAGTAAGGGCCTAGCGACCTCTCAGGACACCCTAGCAACGCCTTAGCAACCACTCAGAATACCCTAGCAACCACCTAGCAACACCTTAGCAACCACCAAGCAACCACTCAGGGCACCCTATCACTGTTGCTAGCATGATGCTAGCAACTCGATTAGCATGTTGCTAGCATCATGCTAACACGATTAGCATCATGCTAGCTACATGCTAATTATGTTAGCATGATGCTAGCAACTCAATTAGCATGATGCTAGCAACTCGATTAGCATGTTGCTAGCATGATGCTAACACGATTAGCATCATGCTAGCTACATGCTAATCATGTTAGCATGATGCTAGCAACTCGGTTAGCATGTTGCTAGCATGATGCTAACACGATTAGCATCATGCTAATTACATGCTAATCATGTCAGCATGATGCTAGCATCTCGATTAGCATGTTGCTAGCATGATGCTAACACTATTAGTATCATGATAGCTACATGCTAATCATATTAGCATGTTGTTGCTTTTTGGCCAGTACGGTGATACATTTTACCCCATCGATTTGCCACGCAAACCCCATTCACATTTCCTTTAGGAAATGTACAATTCTAGTTTATATTGTGATTCTGTTGTGGACTAAAACAAAATGAGCTCAGACAAACACAAAGCCGCTCTCTTCATGTGTTCATCACCTGACCCACAGTCACATTCACCTGTCAGTCAGACACGAGCCCTGATCAATAAGAGACTGAGCTGAAGGAAAATGAATGAATGATCTTCAATCTGCTTCAACACACACACATCTGTATAGATATGAATAAATCACAGCCCTGCAGATGTTTAGTTTCTTCTTCTGCCAATCCACTAAAGGGGCTCTACATCTGGTAACACTGTTCACACTGCTGTTAAAGCAGGTAAAGACACGTTTACACCTGTAATCTGAAAGCAGTGTTAGCGCTGCACTTTACCCAGGGTTATGAAGCGCTGCTATGGAGTGGTGTTAGCGTCGTGTTTGTAATGTAACACTGCATTGTGGTTAGGGATGCAATGATTAACCGGTTTCACTATTAAACATGCTTTAATTCATCATGGTTTATAAATCATAAAGACTTCTCAACACTGTTTTTCAGCATTGATTAAAACTGCTGCAACTAAACACAGTTATGGCCACTGTGCCGCGCTTTACACTGATAACCACACACACTGGATTAACTATGACTGTGGGTATATAAGGCAAGTTCAGGCAAGTCTGTTATTTCCAATGGAGAGATTTTTGTGACTGCAGGAAATGCAAACAGCTGAAGTTTGAGGAAGACGCAATGAAAAGTCCACAGGTTTGCAAACCCACCTACAGTTACAAACAATGGCAGCGATGAGAGCGATGATGAGGTGAATGTTGATCCGCCAGCCGAGAGAGTGTTTTCAGAGAGAGTGCTGAAAGACTCAAAGTGTCTCAGCTGATTAATGGCCTGAATCTCGATGTTCAGCACAAATGTCAGCTAAATGTAAAATCTAACACTCGACACGTCATCGCCAAAAGAAGCTTTCCTTTACTAGTTTCACACTGAAACTGCGGCTGATGATGAAGAACTGTACGGTTTTAAGCCGGTGATCATCGTGAGAATCCTGCTCTGCCTGCTCATATATTGGGTCGGCTGACTCGCCTGCTTTATTCCACAATCACAGGAAAATGTAAATGAGCGCATAACGAGACTGAACATTTACAATGACACAAAACACTTAGAGAGCGACAGAAGAGAGACGTTTCTTCCTTTCTTTTATTTTCCTATTTAGTTAGTGATGACTGCTGTGCAGCTTCCAGCCTCCTTGAATTAAATTATTCATTATAATATTTTGTTTTCAAGCAGAAATATTCATTATTAATTGACATGCATATAAAAACAATCAATATATAATAAAACAATAGTGCAAAATAAATATTTCTTTCTTTAATGCTTCAATTGTTTGATGCAAATTTATTTTTCATAAAGTAACAGTAGTAAACAGCAGTAAACAGACTTTTTATAGCAGATAACTCACATTCAAGCTCATTTAGAAGAAAGCCTGATGATGAGAAATGTTATTCATTGTTAGTATTATTGTCATCATCATCATCATCAATATTGTTTTATTAATATTATTATTATTAATTATTAGACATTAATTTTGGATTTTAATATCAATAAGTCATTATGATTACAGAATTAGTTGGATAAATATTTCTGCTATTTGTTAGTCTTGATTGAGGACGCTTTTAAATGCGATACATCTGTTAATAAACTATTTGCAGTGGCGCTCCTGCATTTATTCTGGCGCTCCTGCATTTATTCTGGCGCTCCTGCATTTATTCTTGCGCTCCTGCATTTATTCTGGCGCTCCTACATTTATTCTGGCGCTCCTACATTTATTCTGGCGCTCCTGCATTTATTCTGGCGCTCCTACATTTATTCTGGCGCTCCTGCATTTATTCTGGAGCTCCTGCATTTATTCTGGAGCTCCTGCATTTATTCTGGCGCTCCTGCATTTATTCTGGCGCTCCTGCATTTATTCTGGCGCTCCTGCATTTATTCTGGCGCTCCTGCATTTATTCTGGAGCTCCTGCATTTATTCTGCATTTATTCTGGAGCTCCTACATTTATTCTGGATCTCCTGCATTTATTCTGGCGCTCCTACATTTATTCTGGAGCTCCTGCATTTATTCTGGCGCTCCTGCATTTATTCTGGCGCTCCTGCATTTATTCTGGCGCTCCTGCATTTATTCTGGCACTCCTGCATTTATTCTGGCGCTCCTGCATTTATTCTGGCGCTCCTGCATTTATTCTGGAGCTCCTGCATTTATTCTGGCGCTCCTGCATTTATTCTGGCGCTCCTGCATTTATTCTGGCGCTCCTGCATTTATTCTGGCGCTCCTGCATTTATTCTGGCGCTCCTGCATTTATTCTAGCGCTCCTGCATTTATTCTGGCGCTTCTGCATTTATTCTGGCGCTCCTACATTTATTCTGGAGCTCCTGCATTTATTCTGGCGCTCCTGCATTTATTCTGGCGCTCCTGCATTTATTCTGGAGCTCCTGCATTTATTCTGGCGCTCCTACATTTATTCTGGAGCTCCTGCATTTATTCTGGCGCTCCTACATTTATTCTGGCGCTCCTGCATTTATTCTGGCGCTTCTGCATTTATTCTGGCGCTCCTGCATTTATTCTGGCGCAACTATTCTGGCGCTCCTGCATTTATTCCGGCGCTCCTGCATTTATTCTGGCCATCCTGCATTTATTCTGGCGCTCCTGCATTTATTCTGGCGCTCCTGCATTTATTCTGGCGCTCCTGCATTTATTCTGGCGCTCCGACATTTTTTCTGGCGCTCATGCATTTATTCTGGAGCTCCTACATTTATTCTGGCGCTCCTGCATTTATTCTGGCGCTCCTGCATTTATTTTGGCGCTCCTGCATTTATTCTGCATTTATTCTGGAGCTCCTACATTTATTCTGGCGCTCCTGCATTTATTCTGGCGCTCCTGCATTTATTTTGGCGCTCCTGCATTTATTCTGCATTTATTCTGGCGCTCCTACATTTATTCTGGCGCTCCTGCATTTATTCTGCATTTATTCTGGCGCTCCTGCATTTATTCTGCATTTATTCTGGTGCTCCTGCATTTAGTCTGGCGCTCCTACATTTATGCAGGATGCACAGTTTGAGGATTGTAGAACTAAAGACAAACTCTCACAGGAATCAGCAGTGCATTTACACGTAACAAATCTGAGAAATAAGAAAACAAATCAAATTTAGATTGTATTTTTTTGTCACTCACTTCATGTAAATAATAACTTTAATCAATCAATCAATCAGTCAGTCTATCAGGTGTTAAAATTCAGACCTCAGTGTGTCCAGTTTACAGTATTGACTCTTCAGTCCATCAGAGAGAAGCTTCACTCCTGAATCCTGCAGGTCATTGTTACTCAGGTCCAGCTCTCTCAGCACACAGTTTGAGGATTGTAGAGCTGAAGACAAACTCTCACAGCACTGAACAGTGAGATTACAGCTCTGAAGCCTGTGAGGGGAAAACAGAAGTAATGATTTTGGTTTTATCTATTAATCCAGGGCAGAGACAAAAACACTTGAATGTTGTCTTTTAGTTTGAGTAAAGGTGAAATCACTATGTGGACTATGTGGACACTTGTCCACTATGTGGACAAGGCTGTAAAATAAACATCAAATTATTATTTACCTAACAATTCACAGTTTTGTGTGATAATTAATTATTAGTTATCATTATTAAAAACTTTCTCCATTTTCCAAACTCATGTTAACAGATTAGAGTTATCAGTTTTTAAAGGTGAGATTATATTATTGTATTGCGTAAAAAGAGAATCAAAGTATTGAAAAGAATGTCTGAAAGTGGAGTAGACATAAGGAGAACAGATATTGTGTACAGCAGGAGATCAGTGATACATATTTGATGTGAAAACACAAATAGTCTGTGCTGTTTCTGCACTGCACACATTTGACTCATGGGTTGCAGATGTGTTGCAAAACGATGTGTGAAATGGGCATAAGTGTATCCAGAAAACTCTTACAGTGCTCTTGTGGTGTTTTTGACCACTGGTATCAGTCTCATCAGTGCTTCATCAGATCTTCTGTATTTCTGCAGTTCAAACTTCTCTTGAGTCTCTTCTGACATCAGGAGCACAAACACCAGACCCGACCACTGAGCAGAGGACAGATCCTGTGATGAAAGATATCCAGAGCTCAGACTCTTCTGGAGGTCCTCCACAAAGTCATCCTTCAGTTCATTCAGACAGTAGAAGAGGTTGATGGTCCTCTCTGCTGATTTCTCCTCCTCTATTTTCTTTTTGATATAGTCAGTTGTGTCTTTGATGTTTTCAGTTTTGAGCTTCAGTCCTGGCAGGAACTTCTTCAGGTCACTCTGATTAGACTTCAGAGAGAGACCCAGCAGGAACCGGAGGAAAAGGTCCAGGTGTCCGTTCTTGCTTTGTAAAGTCTTCTTGACTGCATCCTTATGAAGTTTAAACAGGGTCTTTGTAGAGAGTTTCCATGTCAGTTCCTTTTTCCAGGAATCAAGAAATAGATTTGCTTTCTTGTCTTTGTAAGTGAAAAACACATAGAGAGCAGCGATGAACTCCTGAACGCTGAGATGAACAAAACTGTAAACCTGTTCCCCTGAAATGGGGTTTTCCTCCTGAAACATTCGAGTACATAATCCTGAGAACACAGAGCCTTCCTTGACATCTAGGCCACACTTCTCCAGATCTGTTTTGTAGAAAATCAGTTGTCCTTCCTGCAGCTGTTTAAAGGCCAGTTTCCCAAGCTTCAGAACAATGTCTTCAAAAGACCAGGCCTTAGCTTCAGGTTCAGAATCGTTGCTGTATTTTTCTTTCATCTGTTGCTTTTGAGACAGTAAGTAGCTGGTGTACATCTCTGTGAGAGTTGTGGGTGTTTTTTCATTGCTCTCTTGACCCAGCAGAGGCTGAAGAACAGTGAGAGAGATCCAGCAGAAGACGGGGATGTGGCACATGATATACAGACTCCTGGATTTCTTGATGTGGCCGATGATGTTTCCAGCAACCTCAGGACTGCTGTTTTTGATGAAGTACTGCTCCTTCTGCTCATCACTGAATCCTCGCACCTCAGTCACCTGATCAATGTAGTCTCGGGGTATCAGACTGGCTGCTGCTGGTCTGGATGTGATCCAGATGAGGCAAGAGCGAAGCAGCTGTCTCTTTAAGAGATGTGTTACTATCTTACTCACTGTCATTTCCTTATCAACATCTGTTAATCCATCATCCTCCTCTTTAAAGTTCAATTCAAAGCGATATTCATCCAGTCCATCAAAGATGAACATGACCTTACCTTGTTTTTCAGGAAGAGAGCTCAGTCCTCCACTGCCAAAGAAGTACTTGTTAAGCAGACCTATGAGACTGTACTTTTTTTCTTTAATCAGATTCAGTCTACGGAACGGCAGTGGAAATATGAAGACTATTTCCTGATTGTCTTTTTCTTCAGCCCAGTCAAGGATGAATTTATTAACAGAGACAGTCTTTCCCACTCCTGCAATCCCCAGTGTCAGGACTCTTCTGTTTTGTTCACCTGTGTCAGGCTGAACTTTAAACATGTCGTTACACTTGAGTGGTTTATCCTTGGCTGTCTGTTGGTTGTGTTTTGACTCTATCTGTATCACCTCATGGTCATTCTCTCTTCCTCCAGTCTCGTTCTCCACCACATATAGATCAGTGTAAATATCATCCAGCTTCTTCTTACGACCTATCTGTGAATTACCAATCAATATCTGCTTATAGTCCTCCTTTAAGTTCTTCTTTAGTTCACGGCTGGTGTTTGTGTAATCAACAGGAGGGGATGTACAGCTATCTGAAGGTGCACCTGTACAAGAGAGAGGAACAATTAGTGTTTTATTAAAGTGAATTATAATTACGTCCTGTGCTTTCCAACACAAAAAAATAACAACAGCACTCATGAAGTCGTTTGTTTCAACATTTAAATGACGTGAAACCTGCAGAATTGTTTGACTGTCTGCAAACAAAACATGCACACAAAAATAGAGATATTTTATTTTTAAAAGAAAAATTTTATAATTTATTGTTCCCAGAAAAAGGCTCTTTCATTTGAAGAAGAAAAGCTGCAGGGGCTCAAGCCCTCCAAAGCGAGATCCAAGGACAACTTCATTATTATTTAGGAAATGCACAGTGTGAGCCGGCTTTACAATGTTTACAATGTACAATGTATTTTACAACTCATCTTTGATCTTGTTTTCCTTTGCTCAACTCTATATTCCATATTTGTTCATTCTGTCTGTGCAAATAAGTAGTAAATTATAGTTTTGATAGTTTTATCTTGGTGTGCTGCTGGGATGGAGGTCTTCTCTCTTTGTGAAGCATACATTGTGTAAAAGGCTTAATAAAGATCTTGCAGTTGGACTATGATTCTGCTAATGCTCAGTTATTTCAACAGCCATGCAGACTCCTGATGACAGAGAATGAGGGGCTACTTTACAGAAATTCAATAAACTTTAATGAGTGTAATATTCATAATGTCCATTCCAGTTAAAGGTTCAGGACACCCTGGAGAACTTTTTTTTATATTAACAGATTTGGGTGTGTTGAGCATCAGTTAAGACAATGTTAGCACCTGTCGTCAGCTTTAATTGTGAGGAAAACTGGATAATTTTGAGCTTTTGTCAGCTAATTTCAGCTTCCGGGTTTAAAATGATTTTTGGGGCGGGATCAAAACCGGCGACGTAGCGCAGTACTGCAAGTGCAATGATGATGCGTCGGTTTCTCATTATTATTCATAACGGAGTTTTCTTATCCTATGAGAAGAACCGGCTGCTTAATTATTCATGAGACCTGCCAGACTTGCCAGTGTCAAGCCCGAGCTGTGAGACACGGACGGACCCACGACACACAGTATTTAGCCGTTTTTTGCTGCGGATTGAGGGAGAAGTCCTCATTTGTAGGGTTTACATGAACACACTTACCTTTATAATGTTATAAATTGTGTTTATGTGTATTACGAATAACAAATGTAGCAGAGCATTAAATCACTGTTTATTTCTTTGCATTTTAACTTTGTAAACTATAAACTCATGCGTCTCCTCACGGTTTATCTCATTTGTGAGCTAGCTTCGTTCGCTCACGTTCTCCCCTGCTGGTAACGCCCACTCCTGCCCGATGCTTGCGGAGCTCCACGCCCATTAATCATGCATCTAGAAATTGGGGGGTGTCATGGCCCTTTAAAGAGCAGTGTGTCTAAGTGAGCAGAGTGCAATGACGTACCGGTTCCTGCAGGGTTCAAGCTGTTGTTGAAATTCACTGGGCCTGTGGTGATGTTTCCAGTGAGTACAGGAGCATTTACAACTACTCCTGAATCAGCTTTCACGTCAGTACTGAATGCAGTTTGAGCACTGCTGCTCGTCTGACCTGCAATAGAGACAAGGCTTAATATTATTTCATAAAAGACAACTATTTTATTACTGATAATATTATTAATAATCCATTACATGTATATAGCACTTTTCTTAGTGCTCAAAGCTCTTTAAGGCCGGGACAGTGTGAGTTGGTTTTACAATGTGTTCCTGTTTTAGAAATGTTTGTTGCAACTTATTCTAAGCTTCTTCATTCTTGTTTTCCTTTCTTTATTAAAATAGATATGTCTTGTGCTTCCCCTCACAAAAAATAACAATTGCGCATATAAATAAAGTAACAAATTCAGATGAACAAAGACAAACAATATATTCACACACATTAGCTATATACATCATATTAAATATATTTACATTCATTGCTCAGAAGCTGTGCAATACATGTTATGCCAATACATCTGACTCAAAAACCATTGCTAGGACAGGGTTTTAACATGAAAGATTTGAACTGGAAATGATCACATTTGTAAAGTTTAACAGTGAATTAAACAATACCTTGCTTCTGTGTATTCTCCAGATCTTCAGCCAATTTATTCTGCTTGATTTTCCTCAGGGTGTCCACTGTGATCTTCACAGCTCCTTCTGGTCCAAAACATGACACCAACTTATCCACGGTATCCAACCTGTCTGCATTCTCCATTTCAGCTTTTGAAATCTCATTATGGTCATTCACTAAGTACCACTGAAACCTCGTTAGATCAGCTTTTAACAGTTCATTCAATGAGTTGTCGAGCAGCTGTTTAACATTCGCCATGGTGCTTCACCCATTCACAGCTACAGGACAAGAACAGCAACATCTGAATTAGTTTCACTATAACACATAGACCTAAGCATTTATTTATTACTTAAATAATGAAATTTACCTCTAAGTAGAAACATAATTTATCGGAAAGCTAAACCTTGAAAATTTATTGTGGCTATTTTAAGTGGCTGTTACTTAATAGGAACAATGTAGATGTTTGCTTGTCTGCTTGTGTCTTGAGCAGAATCTCTGTAACTCTTCTTCCTGTATTATCATACAGGAGTGTTTATTTAGATGTTCAATTGGTTAAACACAACCCTTTTAGAAAACTAATAAAACCAGTTTTAGAAAAGACTTCAGATGACAGGTGAGACCGGTGGAGAACCACACACATATCAGGGTCCCCGCGGGTCCTTAAAAAGTCTTAAAATGTCTTAAATAAAATTTTCGATTTTTAAGGTCTGAAAATGTCTTAAATTCTGTAATTTTCCATAAGGAGGTCTTAAATTTCATGTGGGATCTTAAATATCATGTCCGACTCGTCTTATGGCGGCAAATCAATGCCAATATAAATCGAGCGCAGCGGTGATGTTTGCGCGCGAGGAGAAGTGAACCGTGAGCAGATTACAGGTCTACACGCGAGTAAACTACAGCCCGCGAGCGCACAGGGGATCTTCGAGCGCGCTCAACTGATCTAGCGCGAGAAAACAAGTCCCGCGCGCGCACATCATCATCTGTGCGCACGATGGACGCTCTCGCGAGCGAGGTCATGCCTACAGCGCGCGCGCGATCAGTTCTCTCCGCTCGCTCGCTGGTTCTTCTCTCTGCTCGCGCGAAACATTTTGGATTTTTTTGAGTTCTAGGGCGGGACTTGGTTTACTTGTTATCTCTAACGCTATTGGCTACTCTACCTTTCCGGAAGTTAGCCGGGATTGGACGCAGGTAAGCTAGTTTCCCCGTTAAATAAAAATATATAGGATATCTTATCATAATGTCACAGTATGAAACTAATAGACTTACTTTCTCAGTAATACTAGGTGACGACTTACTTTCAATAATGAGATATTTCTTGTAATAATTAATCTCATAATAATGCCTATTCTTACCATCATGACCAAGTCATATAATGACATATCAAAATAATGAGATATATTCTTGTAACAAACTTTATTTCTTGGGAGAGAAAGAGAGAGTTATACCATGTGGCAAAAGATCTCTCCATTAAACAGAAATTGGGGAAAATATACATTGGCTAATAATTCAGGACGAATAATTCAGACTTTAAATGTGTGTTTTGAACCACTTGATGAAGTTTAGCACCTACATTTAAACTGAACTCAAGCCAAACGTGTTAATATTTATAAAAATCTTTTTTTTCTAAGACTCGTTGTCCTTGACTCATTTTCTATGAAGAACAAGTCAGAATAAATTAGATAGACAATAGTATACAAAATAGGCTACACATGCATGAAGTGCATAAAGTACAAAGGTTTATAGTAAATATATTGCCATTATTCTGTTATTCCACTATACAGTTAAAGTCAGAATTATTAGCCCGCCTGAATTAATAGCCCCCTGTTTATTTTTATCCAAATTTTTATTTACTTCAACTGCATATGTGACCTTTAAGATGTGGGCCTGTCGTATAGAAAGTGGTATTTGTATGCCTCTGAAGTGGAATGATGTAATGGATACATGCAGTGAGTAAAGCCAAACGAAGATTGTACAAATTAAATTGTTGCTCAATAGGTGGCGATAAACACCCATCTGAATGTCTGTCACTGTATTTTTTTATGTTTAATTGGGCTAATCATTTTTGATTGAAGTCTTTATATGCAGGTTATTCAATCATTAACTAAAAATGAGATTGAAAAATATATATAATATATAGATATATATATTTTACACTGATCTATATTACAAACAATGTTAACAATTATAATAATATACAAAGCTGCACTGCACATATAGTATGCATTGTATGGAAAGATCTAAAACGCAAATAAACTCTTCTGAAGACAATATTTCCTAGAAAGATCATCCCCAAGTGTAATAATGAGCACTGCTGTTGTGGTTAATAATGAAGTAAAATACAACAAACCAGACAAGTGCTGCACGGACAAATCAAATGGGTTCAGAAAGTGTTACAAGAATGCAAGTCATTATTTTAGAAGATTAATTTTTATTATTTGACTGTTTCTCGAGATTGAATCCTCATAAAGTTCTCAGAAAGTTTCTTATGATTATGACTTGCAAATTGTATATATATTTAACGGCGTGATCTTTTAACCTGCGTCCAATCCCGGCTAACTTCCGGAAAGGCAGAGTAGCCAATAGCGTTAGAGATGACAAGTAAACCAAGTCAACCAAGTAATCTGCTCACGGTTCACTTCTCCTCGCGCGCAAACATCACCGCTGCGCTCGATTTATATTGGCATTGATTTGCCGCCATAGATTTGCCACGATACTTCACCACATCATTCTGTGTTGACACACTAAACATTTTCCTGTTTTTTTTTTGTTTGTTTAGGTAAAGTCTTAAATTTTCATTTTAGAGGACTTAAAAAGGTCTTAAAAGGTCTTAAATTTCCTGTTAAAAAATGTGCAGATACCCTGCATATGTCCACTGTTAAAAGACCCTGGCTTACTACATAATATGAATACAAATACCCATCACTGTGGTGGTACCCTGAAAGTTTACATCTTATCATTCATATGGGGTGCAAAATAAGGGCCTATCATGGACATTTAAAGATACAGTGATACTTATTGTACCTTATTGGTACATATTTATCTGACAGTGTTGTAGAATTATTGCAAAAAAGTAAACACTGAAAAAAAAATTGAAGACTAATTATGTTGGCTTGAGAAAGCCAACATACTGTAATGCTACTTAAACTTATTATGTTGGCTTGAGAAAGCCAACATACTGTAATGCTACTTAAACTTAATATGTTGGCTTGAGAAAGCCAACATACTGTTATACTACTCTGTCCTTGAAAACAAACGTATCTCCTCCTAGGCCGTTCATGCCACAAGGCCCAAATGTGGTCAAAATGTGCCTTCTGCATTCAAGATTGTTGCTATATCTCCTCATGCCTATAAGAATTATTGTTTTTTTAATAAAAAAATGTTAAATATTAAATTTTTATAATCCGGGCATATTAAAAAAATTATACAAGCCCCAAATTTGGCCAAAAGCTGTATTTAGATGTGTTAGATTTTGTTGCTATATCTTTAAGGTTTATCAGACTTATAGTTTTCCAATAAATAATTTTTAAGCATTATTTTTCTTAAAATATGGCAAGACATTTTTGACTTAAACTCCATATTATTATTGATATGGCAAGCCATTTTTGCATGCATCACTTTCACACTTATTAAGCATTGTATTTTCAAAAAAATACGGCAAGCCATTTTTACATAATGTTCATTCCCTTAGTCCCTTTATTAATCAGGGGTCGCCACAACGGAATGAACCGCCAACTTATCCAGCATTTGTTTTACACAGCGAATGCCCTCCAGCCGCAACCCAACACCAGGAATGCATAATGTTCAAGTCCAGTTTTTGACACTCATAAAGCCTGTCATAGAAACATCGGGGTTGATTAAGGTCACTCATATTGCCAAGAAGCTTTGATGTATCATCACTAACCTGTCAAATGTCCCCATAGCAATAAAACAGTATAACCTAGCAACCATTTAAAAAAAGCAATATCTCTACATCAGAACATCGTAGGGACCTGGGCATTGGCTTGTTTGACTCATGCTAGCAAATGGGACTACCTGTGTACTATGCATGGTAACAATGATAATGGAAGCCAAGTCTTAATAACAATTCGCTACATGCTATGAATGATTATTTAAATGCAATAACATATGCTAGAAATGCCTACTAAGTATTAGCATTTGATCAAACATGTACACGAGCATTGCCATTTAGCAACTGCTTAGCAACTACCTAACAATGCCATTATTGTTTTAGCAACTGCCTAGCAACCACTTAGCAACCGCCGCCGTGCTTCCTGCCAACTGCCATTCCCAGCCCTAGCGCAGTCACGTTGGCTTTCTCAAGCCAACATCAAAGTTTATCAATAACTTTAGGTTCTAGTTCTTATTATTATTATTATTATTATGTTGGCTTGAGAAAGCCAACATACTGTAATGCTACTTAAACTTATTCTTATTATTATTATGTTGGCTTGAGAAAGCCAACATACTGTAATGCTACTTAAACTTATTCTTATTATTATTATTATTATTCCGGCTTCTGACCAAAAAAAAGCAATCGCTTCTCCTCCCAGGGCTTAGATGCTACAAGCCCCAAATTTGGTCAAAAGCTGTCTATTGCCCATGAGATGGTTGCTGTATGTCCTCATGCCGATAAGATTTGTAGTTTTTGAATTAAAAATTTTTTGAATTAAAAAATTGTAAATATTACAATCGAGTATTTGGGGCATATAAAAAAGTATACAATCCTCAAATTTGGCCAAAAGATGTGCTTTAAATTGAAGATAATTATCATATTTATTTGGTGTAATTATAAATAACAGTTTTCCTATAAATATTTTTTTTATATTAAATTTGTTAATTTCAAACCTAAAGCTTGTCAGAGTGTCCACGAGATGGCGCCAGAAGACTATTTTTGAGCCCTTTGGAATTGAGTTTACTGCACCTTTGCACCTTTTACAATTTCTTTCCATTCGGTCCGGTCGGACCTGAATGTCTTTATACCGTTGTAATCACGTGTAAATTCTAACAAAGACAATGTTTGCACTTTTTAAATCACATTTTATTTATTGTGCAAAAATAAAACATCCAAACAGCATCATAACCAATAAAAACACACAGCAAAGAAAATGTATTTTAAAATAGTGAATATATATATATATACATACAATGTATGAAGATTTTTTATATCCCCTTAATATGCTCTGCTGTTGCTGCATCAATTTCTCTCTGTAACATCTGGATTGCAATTTACACTGCAATGTTCACAATTTATTATTATGGGGGGAAAATCCAAACAGTA